TGAAATTAAAATTTTAAATAAAAGTTATTTTAAAAAGCTATACTTACCCTGAAAGTGAACAGTATGATGGGCCTGGGTTGTTCTTTCCTATACCATACATCCCAACAGACAGATCATGGTGTGGTGATAATTCTACATTAATCCCACTAACCTCAGTCTCTCTTCTTATTTTTCCCTTTATGGTAATGTACTATAAGTATGTCTACCAATATTTCATATACCTCTATGTGCATCCTTCTAAAACGTTTGGATATCACCTCTCCAACCCTCCAAATCAGTATTGTCATATGCACAAAGAGGAATAATTTGTTTTTAATACAGACATTTCTAAGTCTGTAGTTTGGGAGATATTGCATCTAAAGATTGTGCCAAAGAAAACATTCCTGACTCAGAGAGATTCAATTATACAAGGAGAGAACATCTAGCCAATTATAATTCCAACTACAGTTATAGGCAAAACAAAACTGGAAATTAAAAAGGCCATTGTGACCTTGAGGAAAACATCTTCAGAATGTCAAACAGAGATTTGACATTCAAACACCATTTACACAGATATGTCTTAGGTATGGAAAACAAAACCATTCCACTTCAACACTATGTTGATCTTTTTTATTTACAATACTGCAACCTAATCTGGACCCAGGAAAATACTACTTTATACAATATATAGAATCCTGTATATTATATTTAAAACTAGTTAACTGTTAATTATTCTTATTTGGTGTTCATCGGCACATATGCTTTCATACATAAAAGAAACATTTAAATTTTCTAGAGAATGATATAAAAGTGGTTTATAGCTTTTAAAATATGGAAACATCCTCGTTCAATTCCATGCATACATCTTTTTTGTCTAACTAGTTCTTGTTAAAATGCATTTTATATATGGGAGATTACTTCAATATTTATTGGAATGGTTTATCAAAATATTATTAATACTTTTGTATGGCAGTGCCATTACTGTCTTCAACAATAACTTTCATTACATGGAAAATACCTGTGAATTACTCATATACCGCAAAGTTATAAAAATAACAATATATAGTTATTAAGAGCAATTATTTATACAAAGTCTGTGTGAATAATGTCACAAGAAGATTTTGGTTTGACTACAATGTAGTGCTTTGGTTAGGAGTGTACATATCTAACTAAGAACACCCCCACCCACTCACAAAGGAAAGCTAAGCTGGGGAAGAGAGCATCCTGGACAGAAGAAGAAGCTTCCACAGCCAACTCCCGATAAGTGGGTGTTCTATGACTGGCCTCATGCTCAGAGCAGACATTCTGTGAGAGCATATATAACATGCTGATAAAATTTCCAGAAAACACACTTCCTAATTCCTGTGATAGAAAACAGTACACTTATATGATCCAAAATTCATACTTCCCCAAATATTTTAATGCAGCTGAAAACTTTAAAAAATGCCTCTATTTGGAGATGGTGAACCCTAAACATACCATATAAGGAAAATAAACTTTGGATGACATATTTATTGGGAAATATGCAAAATACATGCATACATTAAGAAAAAGGTATTGAATATATCTAAATTTTAAAATTTGTAAAACAAGAGCTTGGATAAGAGCCCAAAAAAGATTAGAAAAGTATGATGAACAGCTTAAAATATTTGAACATTACTTATTTAATATTGAGAGGAACATTGTATTGCCCATCAAGAGATACCGGTGAATACCAACTTTGTTCCTATTACAAGAGTGTTCCTGATTCTTAAGAAATGAATGTTAGCAAACAATTTATGGCTACTCTATCATAGTTGTTCCTAGGTTTATTTTCTTGGGCTACAACTCCAACAATCACTAGCCAACATGACCAATACTAAAAAAAAATAACAGAATTTTAGTCTATTGTCTAAGCACTATAATCTAGTAAGAATTACTTATACAGAACTACTACTTTGGATTTTCATCCTGGCAGTCTGGTCAATTATGTCATCATGGTATATTCAGTATTGTCTTTCTTTTAAAAACAGGCTAAAGCATATGTAGGCAACACTTTCCAATGTGTGGACTACACTTTCTTTTTCTATCCTGATTTGGAAAGGAGGTAGGTTTTTAAGAGTTGCTATGGTGCTGTAAGTCTATAAGGCATAAGACATTGATTCCACCCCTTAAAAACCTCTCTAACCTGCCAGTATATAAAATAGGTTGGGAGTTAGTGATTCCATCCACCTCCATCACAGAGTGTAGGAGGGAACATACCTTTGGTCCAAAAACTGGGACAAAAGCTAACAAATACATGATCAGCAATGAGGTAATCTTGTCCTAAAGCTTAGAAATTTATCATCACATTTCACAATCAGTGCAGTGGCAAAACAAATTATGTGGTACCCTCCAGAAGTTCTGGAATTATGAGAATTCTAGCTGAAAATATTGTTCATGCTAACTGAATCTTATGAGAGTTGTAATTCAAAACATCTGGATGGCACAATATTGCCTACCACCAAAATTCATGCAAGGCATACCAGTAATTCAGACCATTAATGCTATGTTAATAGCATTATCCGTTTATATTATAATCTATGATTAATGCACAATTTCATAGAATCTAGCCAATGAATTTACTTCTAAGCCAACTTCTATTCTGTGATACAGTATACTGAAAAAGGAAATCCAAGCAATTTATGCAGCTCAGATTAATCGTGAAAGTCCACAAATCAAGGGAATGGTCTGGTCTAGATGAATTCTAGATGAATTTCCTCTAAAGTAGGTACACAATTCATGCATAGTACTTAGTTTACCTGTCACTTGAGATGCCAAAACCCTTAGTGGTACAGAACACCTATTTTTAATTGCAACTGTTACTTCAGTTATCGATACTCTTAGGCAGGATTAGTCCATCACAGTGATCCATGCTCTGCTAACTTCTTGGTTAAATTACTATAAAACACTTTCATGTGGAGCTGCCTTGCAACCAATTTGGAGAGAGCAGCTTGTGCAAAATGCAGCTGTGAGGGTGGAAACTGGTTCGGCAACATGAGGCCATATAAAATTGAGCCTTATAGAGCACTGGTTAATTATCTGGCACCAAGCCCAACTCAACATGCTTCTTTCATGTACAGAACCCTGGCCTAAATGGCTTTGAACAAAAACTTTGAACTATTCCTATATTATTTTGCCTAAAGATGTGAAATTATATATACCTGAGTTATTTCTTGGATGTTTGCATTTTGTCACTGCAATCCTTGTATAATACAATGTTCCACACAATTGTAGTAGGCAGTGAATGTATTTGCAGACCAGTCAATAATTGTTTTTGTTGCTTGTCTATAGAGCCCATCCCCATTCCATCTGAGATATGCAAGTCTGGAAGTGTTTAAGAAAGCCTTCATATACACATCCTTCACAAATTCCATAAACACAAGTCCTTTGGAAGCTTGCTAGCTGTTGATCTACTGAGCACATGAACTCCAAGCAAAGCTAAAATGATATGGCAAGGATTAGTGGGGAGTGGCAAAAATATACAATGTGATACACTTTGGACTGGCAAAGGAATAGCAAAAATAGATCCCTCTAAAAAATTTTATTTGGAAAATCTGTAAAGAAGCATCTCATTTACCAAGCTTTAACTGTTAATTAATAGTACTGAAGTTTATTTTTGTTTTTAACTTTAGAGTCTCTTTTCTGTTTTTGTTTAAAAATTGTTAGCTACTTAAGTATTCATCAAAGTAGAATAACAGAGAATAAATCAAATTTAATTAATGGTATGGTGATAAATTAAAACTTCATAGAAGGACCTTCCCCAACAGAAAAGAGAAACATCATAAAATGTATTGCGGTTGGTAAGATTGAGGAAATGTAGTGGATTACTGAGGAATAGGCAAACTTTCTGGGATAGAGGCAAAAAACAAGACCTGGATACAAAGGTTTCTGGGATAATTTCTCCATGATCTCATCATTAGAATGATACAAGCAGGGATCATGCCAAGGCTAGAAAAACCAATTGTTTGGAAGAGCCAGCATATACAGCCTGGGCCTCCAAACTTGCAATAAATCTTAATCAGTACTGGCACTAAGTTTGTAGAACATCCTTTCCTCTGGAAATGAGGCTGGTGACACCACTGCTTAGTTTAGCTCCAAGGGGAATCATTTCTTATCCACCAAGCATTTTGAGCAATGACATCCCTAAATACCAGTGTAGATTTCTTTAGTTTTGGTTCTGTCATTGGTGTGTTAAAATACTGCATACTGTGAGGGAGCTTTTATGATGAAAAGCAGGATGTATTTTTAGAAGTATAATAAATTTGAATGAGACTTCAGATGCTCAGTGTTTAAAACATATATAGCAAAGTAAAAGGAACAAAGCAATGACGTCAAACACTAGATTCAGATTAAACCCAACTAGAGCAAGAGAGATAAGGAAGATGACTTGGCCCAATCGTCAAAAGCTTATCTGTATATTTATCTCAGTCGATTTTGCTGACACTTCTGAAAAGGAAAAGGATGCCATCCTATCTTAATATGTGAAAAGCAGAGAAACACCTAAACTTGTCTGGCGTGTGTATGCATTTATTACACACACATGACTCATATATAACCCGTGTCTGTCCGTTTTGTAACACGAGCCTCTAGATCTCCATAAGCTCAAACCTTCAGACAACGTCTCAGAAAAATACCGCGCTCGGCGTGTGACGAATAAGGAGGGATCCGGGGAAAAGACGCTCCAGAGTTTAGAAAGCGAAGTGATGGGAAATCCAGGGCGTGGGAGGAGGAGGGAAGGGGGGGGGGGAAGAGAGAGAGAGAAATCCAAGTTGGAACCAGAAGCGGCGACGCGAGCCCCCGCAGCACGGGAAGGAGGACAGGAATACAAAGGCACCTTGGGAGGCGACTGTGCCACTTGGGAGAATGGGCAAGCGGTCCGGCCACCACCGAGTGAGACGGGGCCTACCTTGCTCTGAATTGCTTAACTGTGCCTCGCCGCGCCCCGCCCAGCCCAAAGGCCTTTTCGACGGGCCCACCTCCCCGAGCCACCCGTCACTCACCTCCGCTGACTATTCCGTTACACCCCAACCATTTCTCGGGGGCCGCTGCCGCGCGGGGGCACAAAGGGCCGGAAAGGCCCCAGGAACGGCGGCGGCGGGAGGAGCCACCGGCGAGAGAAGGGGGAGGGGGGGCCACGGGG